AATTACAATCTAATTCATTATATTATTTTATTTATTTTATTTTATTTTTTAAATAAAAGCACTTGTTGGTAAACGTCAATATCAAGCACACTTTGTATGATAAGCTCATTGTACGAGTATAAGCCCAGCTACTATTACCTCAGGGCCTTCCAATGAATGGCAAGGGCATATTTTGTTGAATAGAAAATCTCATTAGACTCAAGTACCTTACCCGCAAATCATAAATCAGTAGCAAATAGTAGCGAGTTCAATGGCCATTGGAGGATGAAATTAGTATACAAGAGTTAAAAAAAAAAATAAATAAAATATAAAAAATTGAAAAACAAAATTGTGATATCAATAAAGATACATACAAACATATGCATGCATATATATACCAGTAAAAAAAATAGTTGACAGAAAACTTTAAACTAAATCTTGAGAGCTTTTTACTGTGATTTCTTTGAACTATTGCACCATTCTCGTTCTTGAGTATTTCGTCATTGAAAGTCAGAGTTTGACATTTGAAGTATTTTATAAAATATTACAACCTTCTATTAATTAATTTATCTGCGAATATCTTACAAACGCACACACATACATACGTGTAAATAAATATTTAGCTCGAACAACGTCGATTTATATGCGGCACAGCAAAGAGCAAACAATTACAGAATGGCCCAGTTTAGCTTAGTCGCACAGAATTCTTCGCAAGAGAAAAAAATTAAAGTCTAGTTTTTAACATAATGAAAACTACATACATATATATTTATTATACATACGTACATGTATGTGCTCTTAATTAAAAGTGCCAGAAAACTTTATAACTATCCTGATACTCTCTTGAGATTTTAAAAGAGCAAACGGTTATTGATTTCGTGGTTTCTAAAGTAAAGTATTTTCACAACTGTCAAACATGACAGTCAAACCAAACAAGTTTTGTTTTAGTTAAAAGTCAGGAATTTATGAAAATAAATCGCTTATCAACCGCCCAACGCGTCAAAATTTTTAAAACCTAATAAAAAATAGTATGTGGGCACCTTTCGGGCTTTAATACAAGATTCAGGTGCACAACCCAATCGTCCAACTATTAATGAAATTGGTAAATTTTCAAAAAAAAAAATGTGAAGAGACTTAATTGCCCAGAGATATGGCTCGTTCCACTTCAAACATCGCTACTGTAAGGCAAAGTGTAGCCGAAGAGCCGAATGAGCTGGAGCTGGGACTTTCTTACGACACATTATGGCGATTTTTGCTATTGAACTTATGGCTATATCAAGCTTAGACAATAGCTGAAGGCAGCTGACCATTTACAACGGCACATATACGTCGTTTGGGCGCTGGAACAACAAGCAGTGGATGGTTTATTTTTTTTTTTTGATACAATTTTCTTCAGCGAGCGGCACACTTCTCACTCGGCGGATACATAAATAAGCAAAATTTTCACATTTGGAGCTCTGAGAATACTCAATTAATTTAAGAGAAGCCATTACGCCCAAATACAAGAACTTACCGTCTGAGGCGCTCTTTGGTCCGGAGATGTGATTGGGCCTTACTTCATTGAAAACGACAACGGCGAGATTGTCACTGTGTAGTAGGTACGTTAAGTCGTATGATAACCGACTTTTTGGGTTTCAACAGGAAGGTGCAACATGCCACACAACACCAGCAAATATGGCTTTATTGGGAGACTCGTTCCCAGGCCGCGAAATCTCTCATTTTGGCAATATCAATTTGCCAAAGGCGTTTTGACACCGTTGGGCTTTTTTAGCGGGGCTAGGCGAAAGATTATGTCTATGCATGACATTCGTCATGTTATGGTTGTGATGCCGTCCAATATGTGCCGAAAAGTGTTCGAAAATGACCTCGAATGGAGGCGATCATTTGAATTATTTAACGTATCACATATAATGCCAAAGTTTAAACTTTAAAACATAAAAGAAACTTCATAAAAAAATTATTTTTACTACATTTCATTCACGTTTACTTTCGAAACTACAAAATGGACTCTCCTGTATAACCTTGATGTGGTTCTCATTCCCAACTTCAGTTTTAAATAACAAAAAAGATTTCGTTTTTTACTTAACTAATTATTTCCGCCAAATCAAAGTAAAAAATTATAATCGTCCGCTCATGTACTAATTTATTTTATAAGTTAGCTACGAAAAAAGATGTTCTAAATTAGCTCATCAGAAAGTAATCATGCTCAAATAATCATTATGTTCTTATAATCACATATTTTTATAAATAACTTGATAAGAAAGAAAAATATCCTAAAAAGTGTTGGTCGAAGAAATTCTATAAATTGATTGAATCATCATCATAAAAAGTAAAAAACGTCAGGGTGGAATGAATGAAGCCTCGTTCTTTTGGTTCTTTTGACATCATCGCCAAACCAGAATTGCATTGTTGCTATATTTCTTCATGCGAGTATACCATTTTTCATTAGAGAACTAATATCTTAAGTACTTGTCTTTAGAAATTCGATTTAATACAAATTTGAATATGATAGTTACTAATAATTTTTTAGGTGAGGTTAGGTTAGGTTGTGGTGGCTACCGATCTATTACATCGATGCCATTGTGATAGCACAAAAACTATATTATTAGGCTTCGCTATCGAACCATTTATAACACTGCCCAAAGAAGTTCAGTCGCATAAAAGATTGGGTGATTGATTCCCTCCTTCTCATAATTCTTGCAGCATCTGTTCTTAGTTTCTCTGCTTGCCGTCCTGCTAGACTGTTGCCAGTTACCACTATTATTCTACTACTTATTTTTCTACCTTACTGGCGTAGACACCGCTTACGCGATTTTGACCGATTTAATAACATTGCGTCATTCGTTTCTTTTTTTTCTTGCTGTTTGGCGCCAATAGAAAATATCCAGTACAGCCAGCTTTTCTCTACTTGGTATTTCCAACGGAATGGAGATCTTCCTCTTCCTCTGCTTGCACCAGCGCGTACTACATCGAAAACTTTCAAAGCTGGAGTATTCTTATCCATACGGATAACATAACCCAGCCAGCGTAGCCATTGTTTCTTGATGAGCTGAACTATGTCAATCTCACCGTATAGCTCATTGTTTCATCGGATGCGTTATTCGCTATTTCCAACTCGTAGAGGACCATAAATCTTACGCAAAACCTTCCTCTCAAAAACTCCTAACGTCGAATTATCAAATGGTGCGTCCACACCATATAGCAGGACGGTAACGATGAGTGACTTGTAGTGTTTAGTCTTTGTTCTTCGATAGAGAACTTCACTTTCAAATTATCTACTCAGTCAAAAGGAGCACCTGTTGGCTAGAACGATTCTGCGCTAGATTCCCCGGCTGACATTGCTGTCGGTGTTTATACAGGTTCCTAGATAGGCGCAGTTTTTTGCGACGATGACTTTTTGTTTGCTGACAGGAGATATTTCGTCTTGCCCTCGTTCACTACCAGACCCAAATCGTTATCAAGTCTGAAGAAAGCTGAATTCACGACGCGATTATTGAGGCCAATAATGTCAATATCATCGGCGTACGCCAGCGACTTTACACTCTTTTAGAAGATTGTACCTTCTCTATTCACACGATAAGGAATCACCTTGTCTGAAACCTCGTTTGGTATCATACGGCTCGGAGAGGGTCTTCTCGATTCTAACGGTGTTTTTGGTGTTGTGAAACAAAAATTTCATGAGAAGCCTTACATTTTCCCTCGATATCCCTATGACCAAGGGCCCACTTGAAACACAGTCTGTTTTATTTGGCTGCTCCCTACAGAGTTCGACCACAGTTCTGCACAATTTTGGAATACAGTGTGAGCGACCTCAGTGCTTTTAATGCTGGCTACGATTTGCCTTGCCGCTTCCATAAAAGCAGATATCTCCTCCTAAAAGACATAAAAATTATCACGTAGACTGAAAGAGAGTTCAATAGAAGGGTTTCTGAAGACCAAGTCTCCCTTCAAACTCTGATTCATTCATGCATATTTAAAGGCTACCACGTGGAGTGTAGTAATTATCCTTCCTTTATTTTCTTCCGCGTTCAAGAGACACAATCACAAGGATGGAAGCGAGTAGGTTCCAGGAAGTATACTACTGCGGCACAAATTTGGTGCTGGTAGTCTTCAGTAGTAGATTCTGTCACCTAATCCTAACGTTTACAGCGTTGAAGGAACATCTTCTTATTTCTTAAAGCTAGTTTTCTTAACGTTTCATCAACGCCTATGGATGAAAGAACATATGTATGAGGACGCAGCTATTATTTAAGAGCATCTGAAACGTTGTCCAGTAACAATTTCAAAGTCATTATGGACGATTACAATAAGCCTGCTCATTGGCTTATGTGCGATCTCTCGTAATCAGGTCGTCAACCTGCCTTTTCACCTAACAATCATCACTGTGCATCTTGATGTTTCTCCTATCCTAAAAATGGAGGGACCATCGAACGGTGATGGATTTTTATGATTATTATGATTTCTGGTCACTTGATATTACCTGCCGACGGGCAACCACGATGAGGAAAATTAATTTTCTACATGTATGGATGTTGGTCGAACCATGACTCTAGCCTTGGCCTTCCCAATGGTAGTACACAATGCTAACCACTCGGTTATTGTGGCGTCTTTTATTTACTTGGACAAGATTGCACTGGACTGCAGATATGGAAACTTCTCCACCGCCTTTTCCATAGACCCTCAACCTACCTTTGAAAAAGTTTGCTACTAAACGCTTTAAATCCGTTAAAAGTGGTAGTGATTTTTCGGAAGCGTAAGACTCCCTCAAGCTGTTTTGGGGGTGATGCTGAATATGTTTTTGCGTGATAGAATAACTCGATATGCAATAGATTGAAACTCGATATTTTATACTTTTGACGCTTGAACCTCTGACCTGCATCTTTCTTTGCGCGTATAGCTTGGGTATTTGCTGAGGCACAAAAATCCGAAAAAACATTTTATTGTTTTTACATTTCATTTTTATATATGTTTTTTAACATCTTTTACTAATGCATACTTTTTTATTATAAATTTCCTTGCAGATCTAAAGACCTTACTCCTCACTACCGCTGAACTCTGAACCAGTTGAATCTCCCCACGTTAAACTAGAAACACTTCAAAACCCTAAACGTAGCTCATCATGAAGCACACCATCGAACAATTCGCTGATGCCGAGTTAACGGAACAAATGTTTAAAATAGCGAAACGTGAATTACGCGAGGACAAATATGTACGCGAACAAAGTGTGGAGCAATTACGTAATTGGGTACAGAAGAACGAAGACTTACGTGATGTACGACTCGATGATGAGTTCCTCTTGCGTTTCCTACGTTGCAAAAAGTTCAGTGTGCCCATGGCACAACAGACGCTACTCAAATACCTAAATGTGCGACGCACCTTCCCACACATGACCACACAATTGGACTTTCTCGAGCCGAAACTGAACGACGTTATTAGCAATGGCTATATATTCGCCTCACCAAAGCGGGACAAGAACGGCCGACGTGTAGTGATCATCAATGCCAAAGGACTCAATCCAAAGATATACACCAGCAGTGATCAAGCGCGTGCACATTTTCTCACTTACGAATGTCTCATGGAGGATCAAGCCACACAGATTTGTGGCCTAATACATGTCGGTGACTTTTCTGGTGTCACCACAGCGCATGTGACCAATTGGAATCCAACAGAATTTGCGCGTGTTTTCAAATGGAGCGAGCAGTCACTGCCGCTGCGTCATAAGGAGATCCATTTGGTGAATGTGCCGGCGACGCTCAAGTGGCTAATCGATTTCGTTAAGGGGCGTGTCAGTTCGAAGATACGCAATCGTTTGACACTCTACACGCAAGATAAAGAGTTGGCGAAATATGTTGATCCCTCGTGCCTGCCACAAGAGTTGGGCGGTGATATGCCGATGAAGGCAATGGTTGAGTTGTGGAAGGAGGAATTGCTAGCCAAGCGCGAAACCATAGTCAACTTGGATAAGATTGCATTGCTGAGTGATCGTGGCATTTTGCGAAAAAGTAATTTCAATGCGGAGAAGAATGCGAACGGCATGAATTTTGTCTCCCAGATCGAGTCGATCGAAGGCAGTTTTCGAAAGCTGGAATTTGATTAGACATTAAGCATTCCCACCATTGGTGAGAAAGTGTTGAGAAGGTCGAGAGTCGAGCTAAGCTCGGAGGTGATGTGTTGATGATGTGCATGTTGTGTTAATTTACTTTACTTAATCTAAGTTTAAAATTAAAAGAAAAAAAAAACGGATATAATTATTATTATTACATTTAATTTGCGATCACTGAAGTGCATTGTGGTAAAAGCACTCCATGGGGTGGGGTGGGGTGTGGGTTTGTACGCTTGGTTTAGTATTAGGTGTAGAGATTACATATGTCTAAAAAAAAAATATATATAATATATACTTAGATATATACATACATATATATATATGCACTTTATGAACAATCCAAAGCTTTGTCCTCCTATAACATACATATATGTACATATGTAATTGCGCAATACTTCAACAGCCTAATAAAACATTCGCTTATTTTTGAAATAATTAATACCTTTTTTGTTCATTTTATTGCGTTTTGCGGTTGGTTTCATCAGCAACCTTGAATTTACACTTACAATTTACAACAACAACACGATCAGAGTACATGTAACAAACCGCCATACTGTGCCCACTGTCTAATTTCACCAAAGAGCGCTTCACCGTCATTCTGACTGTTTGTTAAATTACGCAAACCGTAAATTTTATACTGACGCTGAAGCTTCTTCAGACGCACTGACTCAGCAATAAGCGAAAGGGCGGAATGCAACTGCAAGGTACTGGGCGCCATATTCGTATAGTTGCCTGTAGGGATGAGAAAACATTCAAGTGATGGATGAGCTTACAATTTTACCAGGTAGGAAACTTGTCATTCGTACCTATAAAAGCGATTACCAGCGTTGCATTTTGCCTCGCCAAATTTAGGCCACTTTCATAATTCCAACCGCGTGCCTCATAAGTTTGACGATCACCGCCAATCAAAAAGTTAAATGGTACTTCCTGCGCATTACCAAGCGTCATTTGGTACTGAAATTATAAAAAAAAAAAAAAAATATTTTAAACAAAAAAACAATAAACTAAGTTTTAGTATCACAAACCTGCTTCTGCATTTCCCGCAGGATTTGTAGGCATTTGTCGATTTTTTCACAACCAGCGCCGCCCGTCTGCATTATCACAATATTCATGACATTGGTATGGTTTAGAAAATCGGCAAGTGGCCGAGAAACATTACTCCAAATGTCACGGTGCACGAGATCCAGTGAGAATTGCATAACCGGCAGTCGTGCTTCAAGATTTAAAGAACGATGAATTTGTGACAAGAAAAATAGTATCGAAAAATTATTTTAGAAATTAAGTAAATTTAAGTATTTTCAGAAACTATCTGCTATATATAAATAAAATCCATATACGATCTCTAAATATACATATGTAGATATCTATATATAAATGTAATTGGTGCGATTTTCGACTATGCTTCTCCTCCAATTTTTGATGTGTTTTCCAATAAATGGCGGGATTAGCATTTTATTCTAAGCCACCCTCGGTGCCGTTGTGGAGACTATAATGTAACTTATATCCCTTCTTCTTTTGCTTGTTTGTTAGTTTTCTTTATCGGCTGTCAAAATCAATCATGCAACTCTGCGTTAAAAAGTGAAATATCGTCACGAATAACAACCGAAATGAGGAACGAAATCGATCAGGAGCTATAAGCTCAAAATGGAAATATACGATTTTCTACTTTGTGGGCGGTATAATTCGCAAATCAGTTGTCAGAACTACTCTCGGAGAGGTCGACAATCCGTGCCGCTGCAATCTCCAAAAATTACATATAGATTGCCTTGAAATTTTGCCAGCTTGTTTCTATGGTTTCTGAAAAGGTTTACATGGAAAAATGTTCGCGATGTAGACTAGGGACTGATCTTGTGAAAAAAATTTTCTTTATGGCTCGGTTTACCGGAAATTCGGTGCATTGGTGGCTTCTCGCTTCGATTAACAGTTACACTGCTCTTCCCTCCAAGAAATGGACCAGTGACTGACCATTTTGACTCAATTTTTGGCTCGATTTACCTGAAATTTCACACTTAGATGGTTTCTTGCTTCGATTAATAGAAGAGTGCTCTTCTCTATGGGAAGTAGAGCAGAGACTAACTTAATCGAAAAATTCTTGCTTATAAATGGAACCATAAGAAATTCGGTACATAAATGGCTCGTGATGAATTAATTTTTGGCGAGGACATTGACATTTATCAAATCCCCATCATTCCGTCATACTCGTACACTCCCTTCCAATTCAAGGCGACTACAGCTTCCTGTTCGCCTAACGTTGCCGTTTACAATTAACAAAGCCCATGGTGAATCTATGGAATTATGTGGTGAAAGTGAGCTTCATCGCTGAAAAAAAATTTCTTTTAAAAATCTGGATCGTTTGCTCATTGTGGGTCCATTAAAGGTTGCTGTGACACATTTGACGGTCGTTCCTTCAATTCTCCCACGAGCTGGATATTGTAAAGTCCAATACTCATTCGGGTCTTCTTCGAGACTCTACTCAACAGCAAAAATAGCTGAGTGGCTAGCATTGCGTACTGCCATTCGGAAGGCTCGGGCTCAAATCCACGTGCGACCAACATCCGAAAGTTACAGAAAATTAATTTAAATAAAAAATCAAGTGAAATTTTCTAATTGCGGTCGTCCCTCGGCAGGGATTGTCCATCTCTCCAAGTGTATTTCGGACATGAAATAAAGGCTCTTCATTAAAAACCATCAGCCGTTCGGAGCCGGCTTAGTATAAACTGTAGGTCGCTCCATTTGTTGCAAAACATCAAGACGCAAAACTACAAATTTAAGGAGGAGCTCGGCGGAAAACTCGCTTCAGCGATTACAAAGCGCCAATTATATATATTATATGTGTCGTCAACGTCAAGGTAATGACTTATTTTAGACACTAACAACTTCCAAATCCAGCTTGTATTAATTTTTCTAAATATAAACACGGTAATTTGCATTAACCTATATTTTCGATGAATATGTTCCTGCTAAGAGAAGGCGGGTGGTACATAGGTATATAGGTACATAGGCATGTATATTTAAGATGATACATGCATACAAATAAATACATACGCGTTTACTATATACTACTATATATGTATGTATGTATTCACTATTCCATGTAAGACAAATGAACTATTTCTCTACTTTACGAACGCAAATCTACTCGCAATACACAGACAACTCAATTGTATACAAACGTTAAGTAATTATTATTTTTTAATACATGATTTCAAAACTTACAGTCAGCTATCAAGAGATAAGTAGCGATAACACAGCCACCGGCTAAAATCAAAACAAATGTCATAACACGAAAATATGCACACCAATCTCGCCTCGGCTTGCCAGCGCCTGTTGCAATTGCCGCTGCCTCAATATCGCCTCCAGCACCGGTGCACTCATTATCACTGCCATAAGTACTGTCCGCACCACTCTGACTGCCATAGCCATCGCTACCTGATGCTGCCCGCAACGCCGCCGAGGTTCCCCCATATGTTTTACCCTCCCGCAACAAGGGTGTACGCTCGTTCGCATTTACTTTATTCACTGCGGACTGTACTGGCGCCTGAACTTCTGGATATGTGCGCCGAATGGGTGTATATAATGAGCCGCATTTCGGCACCGATCGTTCGCTGCTGCCACATAATAAACCTTTATTGGATAGGTGTATAATTGTGATTAGTATTGTTTGTAGTAAATAGAAACCAGAAATAAATTTAATTAAACGCCACAAAGTGTTCAGCACCACCTCCAAACGCATAAATAGTTCTTCATATTTGCAATCATGCTCGAAATGGTTTATGAAATTCTCAACGCCGCGATTACTCAGCAACAGTGGCATACTCGCGCTGAGCACTCGATTATCACTGGTTGGCGTGAGAATGTGTCTTTCATTCCTTGACATACTCATCGGCGTACGACCACCGACAATGGACCGATAATGGGGCGACTGCGTACTTAGTAGGTTGGTAAATATTTGACGGCGACTTTAGAAACGTACGATAAGGCGATATCTTTGCTGTGTGGAATATATATGTACATATATAAAGTGCATATAAAGGAATTTACTTGCATATATATGAGATGACATTTATGAGTTTGAACCAGAAAATACCACTAGTGGCTAGGTTGGAACTCATGTTGATTACCATTAGCTACTGTAGGTAATGAAATGAGGGATTCAGTACGTTTGAGGTTGTCTTTAAATAATCCCATTCAAGTTCGGCTGAACTGTGGACCCCTAAACCGATTTTCAGCCGAGCAGCTCCGCTAAAGAAGAGGCCTAAGTATTCCTGTCTGCCGTATCGGAGAGGTGCAACAGTTGACGTTAGACAAATTTAGAACAAACTGTGTACAGGTATGTGCTAGAGACCAATTCGTGTGGTGGCTTCACATTATAAAGGTTTTATATCCAAGAAGACATTTATAGCCGAGTTGTGCAGTTACGGGAAAACCGGATGATTTATTTAAACAACGTTATACTCACAACTTACATTGTTGTTGTTGTAGTAACCCCAAAAATATTCCCTAAATTTGTTTTCGGGGGATATTTTGGGATGGGCAGTCCTTGGTCTTCCGACCTTTGCTTATTTTAGTCGCCTCTTACGACAAGCATGCCTAACCATGGAACAATTTTTGAGCCGCCACCCCGCAGGAGCAAAATTCAATTTTACATTGCTGATCCAACTGATTTTTAGACGATCCCGCTTTCTCTTGAAAGTTCAGAAAAACTTCCACAAAGTGGGATGAAAATAGATATATGTACATATATAGAAAATGTGAACTTTACCTCCTTAGAAGCTCGGAGCTATCAACTGGCAGTCTTAGACATTAAGACAGACTGACGTCAGACAGCCAAATTTGTGAGGGTTGGTGTATTCTCTGTGAAGCCTTTAGGTTTCTCTGTATTTTGGAGGATACAAACTGATCTTACTTCGAGTAAGCGGCTGTAAAACTTTCAAGCTTTGTGAGACGAATTGACTTGCTTTTAGATATTTATATCTGGAGTCCTTATATTCTGTTGGAACCCAGTTGAATTTGAAAAAAAAAGAAAAAAGACACGGGAATTGGTATTAATCTGTATTCCTTCTCGTTTTTTTTTCTGAATTTTACCCCCCAACACGAACTGTCTTGATGTCTAATATGAAGCTAAAGATCTAAGGGGAATGATGCATGTGAAGGTGTTAATATCTCTAGATAACTAATTTTAGTAGACAAATATTTTAAGTTCAGTTTCTCTGTACAGAAGTTTCAGTCGTTCCTGTCCAACATAAACTGTGCAGCAAATTCTTAACGATATATGTATATTTTTTTGTTCCTTTTAATGAGACCGGACTGACGAGGGCTATCAAATCGTAGTCTATACAAACCTTAGCTACTCACCCTGAGCCTAATTTGGCTTAAGGCCGACACAATATGATACTGAATGTGAGCTTTTTTTTTAATTTGATTGCTGGGAAAGTCGAGCTTGCATGAAAGCAGCACTATTTATATACATATTTATGTAACTACTATCTTAGCTAGACACATAAACACACCGAGACCAGAGGGCGCAACACAATTCTCGGCTATATTCGCTTATGAAAATACGTAAATATGCACACTTTCTTACCTTTCATACTGCAGCTTAAAATTCAATACCCCGATCAGCTGCGTAAGATCGAAAAAAAAATCTCTAGCCGAAATTAATTGTTGTCGATTTCGCCACCTCCTTACGCTCTGGCTTCCTTTAGAGTGTACTGAATTTATTATTTTTCACTTTTTTGGTTATATTTTGTTGTTGTTGTTGTTGTTGTTGCTATTGTCGCACATCAACTGGCAAATTTTGATCCGCGAAACCGATTGTTGAGAAGTTTTTCATCATTTTTATCAAGGAATGAGCACTCATCAGCTAATTTTATTCAACACTGTGTAATTGTTGTTTTGTGTAATAAAACACCAAAAAAAAGAAAAACAAAAAATGAATTTAACTATTTTATTTATTTTTTTATTTATTTTTTTTTTTTTTGGAGACAGTAGCCAGACAGCAGCAGTGATGTACCACGTTTTGGGAGCGATTACTGTCTGTCGTCGGACTTTGTTGCTGAGCGCAGCTTTAATGAGTTTGAGATGAGATGATCGCGTTGGCGGACAAAACGATTTCAATGCGGAACGCTGATGTATTGATACCGTTCAATGACTGACAGCAAACAACTCCTTATACTATGGAAATGCATGTAAACAAACGTATATAGAAACATTTTTATATGCATATAAATGTATGTATGTATGTATATAAATGCCTAGTACAATAAGCATATACAAATAATATATGAAAAAATATAATCACCAATGGCGATAAGTAAATGCTTAGGCATATTGCAGCTACACATTAGGGTAGCTCTTAATGTGCAAGGGTCTTGTCATTTATTAATTTTCCTTTCAGACGAACTGCTTTCTATAAATGAACAGGATCCTTATCCCTAATTTCATATCCTACTTAGGGCGGTATTCGCTCTGACGATCCCACGGTTGTACAAAAACGCACTGAAGTGTCCATAACGGCAGAGTTGTTTTGTTTTTATTCATGTTACTCTGCTTTCTGGCTACTTTCTCTTTCGAATAATCAAATTTTAGGATTCATATTTTTGAAAAAATATAGTTTCATGGTACAAATATAAAATTTTTCGTGTGAATTAATCTCAAAATGTCCACTGTCCAGCATATCTCCGAAGACGTAAGCTACTTAATTTTTGTCCTGCATCAAAAAATTATTAATTTTAGTTTCTATATAAGGAGGATTTTTTCGATATTTTGTACAAAATGGTGCACGTTTGAACAAAAACTTACAATGTTCACATAAGAAAACGATATAACTTTGTTGATTACAAAAAAAACTATGTAACTTACGTCTCTGGAGAACGGCATTTTGAATGCACTGTCAAAATTTCGCAAGAATCGCTCAAGATTTGTTCAAGTTATGTCTTCGGCCAGTTTAAAAAAGTGATTTCGAGAAAAACGCGTTTAAAATTTGTAAATGGAGCTCGAGACATACCTGTGAGAATGGCACTGCCGTCGAATGAAAAATTTTAAGGGACACACCTAGTGTGAAATTTCAAAAAAATCGATTTTTTTCATATTTCGTAGATTATACCTTTAAAAATAATATATTAAAATTTCAAATCGATATCTCAAATATCCCCTCAACATTTAGACATTTTTGCCGGCATCCATCTTTTGATATGATGTTTCTAAGACCTCAGAGCACCTTTTAAGGCCAAAAAATAATTTTCGATTTTTTCAAAATTCTAGACCAGCTTCTCCGCCATTAAGGGGCTATGAGTAGATGTAGTATGTCGCTTCGTCCATTTTTGGAAGTGGAACTGGAATAATGTTTAAGTGTGAACCAACTTATGCTATTGACGATAGATAATTTAGAAAGGAAAGCAAAATTTCATTTGATTTGGTTAGAGGAAAAATTAAAGTACTTTCTTTGCATCGAAGCTAGGATTCGATTTTCCTATGAGGCATTAAATACGCGTTGTAAATATACAAAACACAGTTATGTATTATACTAGGTGCGACAATAAAGTAATGAGACTGTTTATATTGCTGCGATTGCGGTAACCCTGCGACCTCGAAATTCCCTTACCCCTCTTCCGGCATCCTTCTGCTCTCCACTGATATATTTGCTCTCGCTCTAACTTGTTTAGTTCGCCTGCTGTGTCGTGCCCAGGTGTTTCGATGGCATAAAGAGTTTAAAAAGCATGATTATTACCTTTTTTTATAGCCGTGGAGTCGTCCACAAAGAATTTCTTCCACCGGGGGGCAAACCGTAAATCAAGTCTACTAATGCCAAGTACTCGAAAGATTGCGCAGACGAGTCAACAGGATGCGCCTAAACATCGGTCGTAACTGGATCCTTCATCCCGATAACGCGCCGTGCCACACCAACCTCAGCGTGTCCCAGTATTTGGCCTCTAAAGAGATCGCCGTGTTACAACAAGCACCTTATTCGCCCGATATGTTGCCCTGTGATTTTTTTTGTTCCCTAGAAAAAAAATCGATGGTCAAAGGTACCCATTTTGAGTCGATTAAGGTCATCCAGGCGGCCGTGACGAGGATACTCGCGTTCCAGAAATGTTACGAAGCATGGAAAACGCGTTGGAATCGTTGTATAGCTGCCCAAGGGGACTACTTTGAAGGGGATGGCAGAGTTGTAGAATAGTTTTTATATATTCGGTTTTTATGGAATCCGTCGCATTACTTAATTGTCACACCTAGTATGTATTATATTATATACGAGTATATATACATAGACGCCTTTTCATCGAAATAAGACAACAAATATAACAGGTCAATTCCTTATGATCTACACACGGTCGCTTAAGTGGTTTAACTATGTACGTATGTGTATGTGTACTCTTGCATGGACATATGTACATACATACATATATTGCAAATTGCTTATCATTAGATAATCCTAAATAGGTACACCTGTGAACAAAAGTGCTCGATTTCTGCGTGCCAATTTTCTGGAAAATTGTTTAAGATTTGAACGAATTTTCATATGAAAATATATAAAGAATCTCATACAACTTTCTTAAAGCCTTTTAAAAATAGTTTACGGATATGAGAAGCCTGCAATCGTCCTGCCAATAGCGGGGAGTGGATTTAAGTCCGAGGACTCTAGGTGGCCACGACAGATAAGTATCCTAATGTTATAATAGATATTCTTGGCTCAGCTGAAGGCGGACGTCAAGGCAATCCATTCACTAAGGCATGCAGTTGGATCTTAGTGATAAGTTTTGGTGTAATGCAATGGTTTCACATGATCCGTTGTTCTTACAAGTTGACTAATTTTTGAGTGAAAAAATCATTACAATGTATTTTCTACGAATTTTAATCAATTCAATTAAAGCCAGGTTCTTCCAAAATTTAAAAAAAAAATGGAAATTTTTTCCTGTAAATTGCTTGAAAATTCTCTAATATAGAATTAGTCTTGAGGCTCCAAGAAAACCAAAAAGTAAGTATAGAAGAGGGGAGAGCTAGGCACGGGGAAATAGTCACGAACGAAAACCTTAATCGACTTTTTCTCGGAACCACGTTTTTTCAACTGGGTGATACTCTCATTAAGAACCTATTGAACTTATCAATATGAGCTAAACGCCATTTTATTCCTAAAATGTCTCTTTATGGTCGGTATTACAACCAAAAATATTTATGGTTATTTAAAAAAAGTTTTAAATAATTAAAATTACAAAAAAAGGGGGAAACAATTAAAAAAATCCGTCATTTTTTTTTTTTTGAAATTGTTTTACAAAAATTTGATTTATAAATATCTTTTTTTTTTTAATAAATAAAATTTGTTTCAAAAAAACACGTTTTTTTACAGGAACCTGGCCTTAACTATTTTTTATTAAAATAACATAAAGGATTCCGAAATGAAAACGTCTTAGTTATAAACGAAAACTAGATTCTTTTTGAAGTCATGGTCTGAACTTAAATTAAATAGCCAAATGTTTCTTCTCTACCAGGGTCTGAATAATATCGGGAAAATGGAGCGACTTACAGCTCATACTAATCCGCCTGCAAATGATTGAAGAACTCTTATCAGGGCGCCAAAATGGTTTTCATATAATTTTAATATTGGCGTGGCCAGAGCTAGAACCCACAACCTTTCGCGTGGCTGTTTGTACTGCTAAGCACTCTGCTAACGTGGCTGAAACAACGATTTCCGCACACAAGATTTTGTTAAACTTTTTAAAACAATATTTTTGGTTTGATTAATTGTAACAAAAATTTTCATAATTTCAAAGGAATACTTCTTTATCAAGCTTTTTAAATTTCAATTTTAGCGAATAGAGAAAAAAAGAGGTCGGGTTGGATAATTATGAACTGTCCTGGGGATTATAAATTTTGTATAAAGTTAGCCTATGAAAGCATTGCTATTTCTTCATAAAATCCTACCAAAATTTCTCAAAATTGTGAGTGTCAAATTCGAGCTAGGATATTGTTGAAAATTCGAAAATTAAGTTATAAAATAAATTATAAAATATGCTTTTGTTTTTATTACTCAGACCGTACTAATTAAGCCGAAACCAGCATACATTAGCAGGTTAAACTCTTACCTATCCATACTCGACCCCAGCATATCCAGCATGTGCATGTGGAGATTTACCGCACGACACTGATCGCCTCTTCACATGCCCCCCTAAGCCGACTCATCCAATCCCGTCGAAACATCTTGTTTCCTGGAGCTCCCATTAGATGACCTCGGCGACTTAGATTGGTGAAACCTGTACCTAGCAGGGGTTAGCGAACCGCTACAACAAAAACAACCTCCTGTGGGTTTGGGGTTCAAGAATTTACCCGCAATCGCACAATCGGGTCCTTATACCGGGTCAATTCGGGTAATAATTTGCGGTTACAACAAGAACATACATACATAAGTAAGGTTGCAATTTTTTGGCGAACTTATTGAAGTAACAAATTTTAAAGTGTATAATTCACGCTCATAAAAATTATTTTCATATGTACATATACATATACCTAATTATATTTATTGATGTTCGACTACCTTAAGTGTCTACCATTATCTATTCAATGGCAACTGTACTCTTTCGAACTTCAAAATCAAGGATCAAAAACAATTGATCATATATTGAGGTATACATATATGTACATATGTACAAACAAAACGTAAATATGTATATATGTATGTATATATAGAATTGTCCCTTGCTCAGCGGTTTTTTTGTTCTTATTGTTGTTGATGGGCAATTCAGTTTGTGAACAAACATGTTAAAGATATTTGTGAATGGAAATGCATTTCCGGATTTTCGCCGAAATGCATTCTAAACTATATTTTCATTATCAGTAGTAAACAAAAGCATACGCCGCAGTTGATCAGAGTTGTGTAGTTGCTTTTGTGAATGCCAAAACAATACATACTATTCATACAAGTTTATATATATTTTTTAATTGTTTTATTAATTTTTACTTATTTCCTTTTCGTTTATACGTTATTTGACTTTGTCTTAGCTACATTTGAATATTTTACAATTGTAACAATTTACATACATACATAAGTGAAACACAAACGCGTACGTTTCTTAACCGATTCCAATAGGTCATTTGATTTTTAATTGCTAAACATGTATTTGTTTTTTTATTTATTTTTTTTTTTAATTTCTTGTTTACTTAAAGTTTTAGTTTCTTTTTTTTATCACTAAACGATTAAAAGAATATATTATTATACACTTGTCGTTTAATGCGAATGTCGTTTATTGCTGCTGCTGAATGCCACTACTTTTACAAAAAAAAAATAAAATATCGCTAAGAACAATGTTGATGACAGAGAAAGTAGTGCAATTTATATATGTATGTCTTTAAAAAAATAAAATAAAATAACTTAAAAAAATGTAAATAGTTATGATGAAATGAAGAGAATATACGTTGCAGCACGTTAGCAAATACATATGTATATTATAAAATATTAAATAAAACTAATTGATTTAAAATTGCAAAAATGCTCAATTTAGTTTTGGTTCTCATGTCTTCTTAAACTTTTAGCTAAGCGAAACTTTTAATTGTACAATTAATTTATTTGAATAAATTTCCCCTTACATATACAAACATACATTGTATTAACAAATCGTCATTTTGGGCGATATATTGAAATAAGAATTTACTACAAATCCAAATTAATCCCATAAATTTTGTTTATGCTTTCATTTTTAAATTAACGCGTTATAACGTTATCTTCATTCTTATTACTTGTAAAAAAAAAGTTATTATAAAATAAAAGTTTAATTGCATTTTAAAAGGGAAAAAATTGGGATGCTTATTCATTTAATTACTACAACACACTGAGCTAATACAGTTGCTATCGCCGCCGTTGAGTTTGTTAATTCATCACTGTGCATATGTGTTTTTTGTGGAGTTTTGGGTACTGTTGGTGTTTATGGCATAGCCGTGAGAGCGTAGAGGCGTGTTCGCACACAGTACATATATTAAATATACAAACATATGCAGTACTTTGAGTGTGGCATTGATAAGCTACTTTTCTTCTAAATAAAAAAGCATACAACTCTCTGCTCAGACTACGCGACTGATTGCTTGTAAGCCTAGCTACTTATATGACCGCCAGATTTGCCATGCACAGAATGCTGCGGAGAACAAAGTAACGCTGCGATGCAAGTACTTGGTTTTGTTATTGGGTGAATAGCCTAAGATCATAGGCGCTGACACATCTCCAAGAGGTAATTTGCTTAGAATTTCATCATCTCTCTCCACCTGTAATCGATGGATGCGCGATATTTTGTTAGAGAAATGTTTGTTTATAATATATTTTCGTATAATTTCATTTCAATTAATAATATTACGCTATATTAATTACCTGATACTGACAGCAAGGATCATAGTTCCATGATACTGTGTATAAACCTGTACAGAAGAGCGATATAGCGCACATAGGCGCAGCGATGACTGGTCGGTCCCGCCATATTAAACTGGATATAAGCGAAGCTACTCCTGACACAACTGCTGTTTTGTGTAAGCAATTGCCTACAGTTATCCAACGTGCTGTCTCGTCACCCAACTTTGGTGGTTCGATAATTATATAATCCACCTTAGCCTCCAGCGCCTTATCCAGTTCAGCTTCAAAGCGTTCATGTGCATTAGTGCTTTCGTAGACCTCACGGATTATACGGAAGGTTGGTGCGGCTGTAGAACTGCAATAAACAATTCATTAGAAAGAGGTAGGTATAAAATTGATATTGACTGACGTATAGAGGTGTGGATGCAGATTAAACGATTACTTATCAGAGATAAAAACAGTGAATACTAAACATTATTCATTATGAATCAAACTAAAATATATTTGAATAAAAGTATTACCGATATTCTAAACAACAAAAATTCTCAAGAATTTGTAGTACTGGCATACATGAAGAACAACATATGTGCAGTTCAAGGTCTCGGTCACGATATTGCGTAGTAAGTGACGCAGAAGCCTGTAGATACAATTACTGTAATATTTCAAAGAGGGTGTTTCTGCCCTTCACCCACCATTACGCAGTAAGAAGCATCATTCTCAGCTGTTTTATATCACAATTTTCAACGAGCGCTTTTGTTTTGGAAAGATTCTGCTTGACGCATATAACCACAACACAAACCTCAAAGTCTGAATATGAATTTAACAATAGAAGATGAAGAAGACACATTGCTGTTTCCCTCATCTTCTCTTTGTCCACAATAGCCGGCTACACAGACAACTTCCATTGCGTCTACATACGAGTACACAACACACAAACTCAAATTATGATTTTCATTTTTCTATGATATTCTCCTCTCAATTTGGATAGAATTGCATAACAAAACTACTAGAATATTAGTAACAACTCCAAAAATAACAATGGAATATTGTACACAAACCTCTCCTCGGCACTTTTCCCCATTTTGGTATGTTTTTGCATGTATTTTCCAATGTTTTTAAATATAATTACATTCGCAGCTTCCTTCAAAAGTCCACAATCCCTCCGCACACAAAATCACAGCGATGGACAAATCGAAAGCCAATCGAATCGAATTCTGTCTATGTTTGGCATTTCGCTTTGTTGTCATTCTATTGTAACTTTCAACGTTTCTGAATAATTCACAATTAATGCAGACTTTTTTGTGATCGAATCACTGTTGACTCTACAAAATAAAGTTATCGATATTGTTGGAAAATTCAAGTGCGTTCCTATTTAAAAAATTTATTATCAGCCTTTACTTTAAACAATTAAAACTTTGGAAACTTAATTATATTAGCATTTAGTTTATTATACGCAATAAGAAGCCAAAAACTAGTTTAATACATATATCACCGCGGGCAACAATACGAATCCGTCCAAATTTAAAATTTGAATCACTTAGCTTTGCTATATTCGGTTTCTCTGCTAGTGGTACCTAAATTACCCACGTCTGCTTCATTAACAGTGTGATTTAGTGACGCGAAATCGCCAGTGTTACAGGATATTGATGGTATTTCAAAGCTCGAAAAACCACGGTAATCAGTAACAGTGGGTTTTAGCGGCGATGGCAACAATGTTCCATTTGTGGGTGAGTCACTATCCAATAAACTACGTTCAATTAAGCTACCATTTTTATCCGTTATTTTTTGATCAGTCACCAGATCATCCACTGGCCTTTGTGCAAGAGGGTCAAACTCTTCCAAGTTTAATTTTAGATCATCTGCAGTACTATTCTCAGCACTGTGATCCGATAAGTCGAAATCATAATTTACATTTGTAAGGCCTCCTCGCAAATCTGTGTTCAATATAAAATCATCAGTCGAATCTGAATGGTCGTCCAACAATGAAATGGCGTCGAAAGGAGTGTAGTTGAAAATTGGAGATGTAAACTGGTCTGGGTTTAACTGAGCTGGTGGTAAGGGTGATAACCGACCAATGGATGAAATGCTGGTGTCTTTAAGCGCCAAAGTGTGCGATGCATCTTCAAAATTATCCCTTATGGTTTTTGTACTATTCGGCATCAGAGGCGCGGGTAGTAGATTTTTTGAGTTATCTTTCGTAGTTTTTCCATCGGTGTCTATAGATGCTATTAAATTGGCACCATAGTGTCCGCTAAGTTGTAAGGATGCTGGTAAAGGCATAGCACTGCCGTTTGTGAGATGCGTCCTCACTTTACTGATAAGATGTTTTGGTGTTTTAATAGGCAGGATTGTTAGTGGCGCCTTAGCAATGCAAGCATCAACCTTATCGGTAATCTCGCGCTTTATATGTGTATAGATAAGAAAATTATTGAACTCGAATGTGTCAATGTAGATAAGAAGTTAATTTTAAATACTCAAATACCTGAAATTCTTCGAGCTCCTTGCGAAAATTATCAATACCGGTAGTGATGCTGGTATTTCGTTTTTTCAACGTTTCCATACGCTTCATATTTTCTGAAATCAAATGTAAGCCTTCACAAGCCAATAAAGCACTTTCCCACGGTGTACTGAATGCCTTATCACCTGACATTAGTAATTGAAACTCCTCTTCCGTTATTCCCAGACTTTCACCATTTAAATTCTCTATGAAAGAGATCGCGCAACACTAAAAGTACACAACATTGAAAAATTTGCCTGTTTCAGCAGAATAATCAGATTTTATGCATGTCTCCTTACAAGATTGGTAAAATAATAACCGCCTTCTCCACTCATTAAACGTGATGCATTGGTGAAACGTGTTACAAAGTTCACATTACTGTGCAACCGCACTGGATTAGCTTTCAAAACAACGAAAATAAGCGCAGGCAAAAATTCATCAGCACTTGCTGGACCGCCCACCGAATGTTTTAGTAATTCGAATATGTGACGGCAGCAACGGACTGTGCATTCCAGTTTTTCTTGAGGGGAATAATATGAATCGATACCCACCAATTCTGAAAAGTTGTTCAAAAGATCCATTTAATGCAATCTTGCAGGCTACATTTTTAAAGAGACCCTTGTCTACGTACCTGTTATAGCGTTATAGACTAGATCTCTCGACTCCGCATTAACTTCGTCAATGCTGCATACTAAATGTTTTGCTGTAATCCAACTGAGTTGGCGTATTCGCTTTTGAATTTTTACATCGTTCTCTTCATCGAGAGTAAAGTAAGGACTAAAAAGGAATCTGCAACACCAACATATTAAAAAAAATTAAATTTTACTAGCTTTTTGTGTATTACTTGTGATTTTGAGTCATGACTACTTTTTCAAAGAAGTCAATTGCACTTTCTCGATCTTCATTTGTTGCAATTTGAAAACGTTGATCATTGTGCACAATATCGGCTAATTTAGTATAGGCATTTTGTACCATTTCGGAAAGTTCGTCAACGCTTTTGTTGGCATTATTATTCATATAACTGCGTATGGAATTATCCAGGCGCTGGATTTCGCTTTTCAGTTTACGTTTGCCATCATCAGGTATTCGGAGCTGTCGAAGTTGAAGCATAAATTGACTCTCCGTAGGATCGGGCACATATGATCTTTGCCCTGATAGGACATTATTAATTTATTTAAAACAAATACTTGTTAAATGAACAATCTCACCTAGTTGACCTTCTTGTTTTAGCTTTTTACTTTTTAACGTATTTGATTGAAGCGTTTTTTGGAAAACGGCCGGCACTAATGATTTTTTCTTTGTAAGTGTGCCCGTCGATATTTCTGGCATACTTTCCTGTCTCCGGTTTGGTGAGCGCCCCAACAGGTTTTGTGGTGACAAGCGCCCTGCTGAGCTACTGGCATTGGTAACTGTATTCGTCACAATCGTTGCGGGGGGTGGGGCTGCATTCTGTTCAGCTATTTCGATTAAATAACCCGTTAGATTTTACACCGAATGCTCTGTTTCAAATGGCTTTATCGTGCTATACATACCTCGTTTCCTTTTTTCGTTGCGTTCACGGAAACACTTGGAGCAGAGCCCATCAAATTTATCATTTCCATAAAATCCACATCCTTGCAGACATTTAAGATCGCGCTGTCCAATACGTAATTGAGGCACACGTGCCAACGCCATATTCGATTTTTATTGTAATAGATATATTGTGTAAATCCAAGTGCAAATTTTCAAGAATTATCTATTGAAAATTATAATCACAAATGTTTTCCTGTAATAAAAAATTAATCAATGCTCGTGTCAGTCACAATCTAGTCTCTTAATTTTTGTTTTGACACGAACTTTCGTTAATTCACAATAGAGTGAGCATATTTGGGTTTTCCTTAGCAGCTGTGAAGGGTATTCACAAAATCAGTTCTGTTATCAAGGTGCGAATATCTACGCCAAGGTAATGGTAAACACTATTAGTAAACTTACCTGGAAAAACTATCTCAAATCTGACCAGCCAAATCAATCCCGATAACTGATTTGAATTAGGAAAGAACGGCTCCACTGCTGCAAATAGAGAAATCGAGCTGTAAAACGCAATCATGTTGCTCGATATCTTTCTTTGCTATTTCTTATTAGTGAAAATACTACATGCATTATTCCATTTGATTTACACTCACCAACTGAGACAAGCTTTAAACCAGTGTGAAATTTCTGGCTATTAGCGTCCGTCCAGGAATTATGAGTCATTTTGAGAAGTAAATGTCTATCACTCGGACCTTATTCGCTTTTAACGCTGAGTAACACCAAAAGTTCCGTCGTTCCGTCCGTGAAAGTACGGTCCTCTCTCGGCGAAAAAGGACCAAACCATAAAAGTCGCTTACCTTTTCGCCTTGTTCTAAGAAACTCAAGCCTGTATGATATTTACATATATCATTGATATTGACATACTAAAATGCGCAGGCTAGTTCATGCTGCCAGAATATATGAAATCATATTTATTTTGAGAGTTTTCTACACTGTACCCGCCCACAGAAGCCGACGAAGAAGACGATCCACAAACCGTTAGAATGATTAGGTGGAGAAGAAGCTGGCTGCACTTGGTATATCCAATTGGCGATAAATGGGTTTTCTTCACCAACAAAAAGGAAATACAAATAGAACTACAGTTATTATTTCGCAGTGCTTTATTCAATTTTCTTCTTCTTACATTTAGAAGTTGATTAGAAACAAAATATTTCATTTAAAAATTAGGTTTTTTCTTTTACATTCAAAATATATATTATTATATCAGAAATAATAATTTTTCAAAGCGCAAAAATATTTTTTTACAATACAGTATAAAATTATTTGATCATTTTTCGATTTTCGGTAAAGTAATCAAATGGACGAAGTACGACGTCTCGGTGCTAATGAAGAATATCTTATAGCTATATATTTCTCTTTTCATAAGTAAGTGAAATTAATGCATCAATAAATTAATTGAAATTATGGCTTGATTAATTTGATCGGTAGTGAAAGTTTCAAAAGTACTGTCACAGCAATATTTTCCTTCAATTCCCTCTCGTCTTTTATTATGCTCCCAATATAAAAATATTATTAATTTTTTGAACCTTTGATAGATATTTAAAAAAATTTTAAATGAAACTTTCAAAACTTGTCGGGAAATCGATAAAAAAACTCAGTATCCAGCCCTGAAAAAAATAAAAACTCTGCATAACCCCACCTCCCCATAGGCCATCACTGATGTACCGACACACCAATGGTCGTCAATGTATGTCAGAGCTTATTGCCTGAAATTTTCGCTTTGACAGCTAATATTTCGTTTGCACGACAGCCTGCTTATATTTTAAGATTAAATGAATATGAACTCATGCTAAGCAATAGAAGTGTCCACATAGAAAAACTGGCAATCAAATTGCGTCTGGATACGTGAGGTGAGACAGGCTAGAGTGACACAATACACGATTATCTATTTAATTTTTTTCAAAGAAAAAACTCAGTACTTTATTAAATTGAGTAATAGTTGATCTTATTTAAAAATTACTATTTCGATTCGGTAAAATTTGCGGGAATATTACAAAATTAAAATCAGTTGTTGGTAAATATATATGAAGGAAGTTTCGTAGAGCTGCATCTGTTCATCCTAGATGTCTAAGTCAATCTATCGACCAAGCGGCAGAAAAGTTCTATCTGCCATTGGCTTAAAGCAATGGGTTTGTAATTTAATTGAATTCGTTGTTTACCAAAGTATTCGTTTAAATTTGGTATACTTCTTCTTACGCCTGTCATTCACAATAAGTAAATTTAAAGTCTGAATTTGCTACGAGTTTGAGAAAATGGCATATTCGCGTGGGTGCATATATATTTTTTCTTTTAATTGGACACTGAACATATTTTTTTAATTGATTTTATGCCAGAAAATATAATTTACATATTTTTTTATAAGCAAAATAATTTATCCTTCTATCAACTAACATATGTATGTACACATGTGCATGCAGCGCATTAAACTAATTTAAAAATCAGACAAATGGCCATATGTATGATTATAACACGCATACATGAATATAATTATAATTATTTATTTGAATTTTCTTATATAATTTTTTGCATTTCCTACATTTGCAACTACAAACTACAATAAGAAATTTGAAAAAATTCGTTCAGACAATTCCTACATTTCTATAAATGATGTTCCCTGCATTTCTAACAATGTTGTATTTATTATTTATCTTACTTTAATATCTAAAATTGAAAAAAAAAAACAACAACAAGACAACTCTTTACGACCTAATTGACTCTCACCACAGGAAGCAAATTAAAAAGAAAAACCTAATGATATATAAAAAAAAAAACTAAAAATAAGCAAGAAAACGAGTAATTTTGTGTTTCGGTGCATCTCGAACTAGTTACGTAAGTACATTTGTTTACATGCTATACCTATAAGTATTTTCAGAAAATTTTGATTAATATATTAACGGTATTCAATTCACTATTTAACTACTTCTTTATGTATTATTTTTCATTTATAAGAATTTTATTGCAAGTCATTTGTTATAAAAAAAGCTTGTTTCATCTTGTTTTTGTTATTTCAATATTGACTTCTACATCAGTTTAACCGTCTCTGTTGCTGTATTCAATCTGTAAACGACGCTTAAAATTCTGCTTTCCACGAAAAACTACCACAACACTTTATTACCGGCTAGCTTCCTAACTCTCAAATATAGCGCAAAGTTTAGTTTCTATATCTATGTATGTATGTACGTAGCGTGTGTGTACTTTTAATATGTATTGAATGCTATAATGTAATTTTACTTCATTTTAAATAAATACTTCTTTGTTTAATTTTTAAAAATTTAACATTCTCTCTTTACGTAGATTTTCTTTGGTTTTGATTTTGTAACATTGATTTTCTAATACAACTACATACTCTCATTTTAAATGTCTGTTTGTAGGTATTTTCTTAATATTACATACAATGTATATATATAGATTTTAATATAAAAAAGTTCAAATCTCATTGAAAAATTCCTTGTTTCTTTAGGTTTTATTATTATTTTTTTTTTTTGTTCCTGTTTTTCTATTAATGATAACAATTTATGTTATATGGAAATCGGCGCAGTGTATACATATGGTATACATATCTACCCTAGTCTTTATTACGTGTAGGCATAAAAAATAGATAAGCTCTAATTCCAGTAATTCATTTCACAGATACAAAAAAATATATAATATAGATAAAAATTAATAAATAATTAATTCGATAGTTACCTTGAACGCATCTTTTCTTCTGTTTCATTTTACCTTATTTGACTTTATTTTATATTTTTGCAATTATGTTATTGAATATCAACTCATGAAACTTATTTTGATGTTGTTTTATGTTATTTAAGCTGATTGGTATGTTTATTTTAGTTAATTTTATCTCATTTTTTATTCTAAGTTCAATTTTGTTTTATTTTGGACTGATTTATTTACTGTTTTAGCTTATTTTGTTCTGTGCATCTCATTTACTTTTATTTAATTTATTTTTTTTTATTTTATTTTCATTTATTTTAATTTATATATATATGAAGTAATTTTACTTTTATAATTTTAATTTATTTCATTTTATTTCAATATATTTATTTATTTAATTCCTTATTTCATTTTATTTTACTTATCTCATTATATATACCTTCTTTTATTTTAATTTTATTTTATTTTAGCTTAAATTGTGAAATTTCATTTATTTTTATTTGACTTAATTTTACTTTATCATATTTTCTTATTATTTATACAATTTTATTTTTATTTTCTGTTTTAATTTATTTTAATTTGTTTAACTTTTAAACATCATATTTTATTTTTATTATTTTAATTTAAGTTAATTTTTTATATTGCGTTATTTTATTTTATTTATTTAATTGATTTTCTTATTTTGTATATTATTCTAGTTAATTTTAGTTTACTTAGTTTTATTTTATAATATATACTTCCTTTTATTTTAATTTTAATTTTGTTTTACATTAGTTTAAGTTATTTACTTACATTTGACCTTATTTTATTTATCCTCGTTTAAGTTAATTTCAATTTATTATACTCTATTTTATTTTATTTTATTTTATTTTTGCATCTTTAATTAATTTTAATTTGTTTCAGTTTTTCATATGTATATTATATTACTTTTGTTTATATTATGTCCATTATATTCATTTTATTTTATATCATTTTATTGTAATATATATATTAAATTAATTTTTTTTATTCTATTTGAATTAATTTATTTAATAGATTTTTTTATTTTATGTTATTCTTATTTATTTTGTTTTACTTCGCTTTTTCATTTTATTTTTTATTTTTACAATTATGTTATTCAACTTTATTTCAGTTTTTATAAGCTTAATGAAATGCAATTTGAATTAATTCCTTCTTTTTTTTCTTTGTTCAATTTATTTTTTATTTTATTTTAATCTATCTATTAAAAGAAATTCATTTTAATTTATTTATTTTTAATTAATTACTTCATTGTATTAATATTTGGTTTATTTATTTTTTAATTTAATTTAAAATTGTATATTTAACTTTAAATTTACTTTCTTTTATTTTTTTTTCATATTTTTAATTTTAAAATTTATTAATTTTCCATTTTTTTTTTTATTTAGTATTGCACCAATTTTTTTCATTTTGTTTTATTTATATTTTTTTTTTGTTCCATTTTGTTTTATTTCACTTTATTTGGTTTAATTTTATTTAACTTTATTTAATTTAAAAACAATTTATGTTAATTTGAGTTTTTTTATTTAATTCTTTTAAAATTATTTTTAATTTTTTATTTCAATTTAATCTTTTTTATTTTGTTTCATTCTACATTTTTAATTTTGTTTTACTTGATTTTTGTCCATTTTATTTTTTATCTTAATTCACTTCGTTTTAATTTAATTCATTTTATTCTATTTAATTTTATATTGTTTAATTTTTATATGTTAATTTTAGTTTTTATTTAATTTAATTTTTTTATTTTCGATTTTATTCTTCATGTTAGTTACTTATTTTTTACTGTACTTATTTTATTGTACTTGTACTTGCTCTCTTTGCATCATTTGGAGTTATTTCATTTTATTTGATTTGTTTTAACTAAAAGTTTTTTAAATTTAACTTTATATGATTTTATTCTATTTAATTTTTATTTTATTTTACTCTATATTATTTTACTTTTACCTTAGTTATTCCAATTTTATTATTTTATTCCAATTTTTTCTGCTCATAATTTTTATTGTATATTTTTCTATTTAATTTTATTCCATATTAATTTATTTTGTTTAATTTTTGTTTAATTTAACTTTTTAATTTCCGATTTCATTTGGGATTTATTTTAATTTTTTAATTTTCTTTGATTTTACATTGCTTAATTAAAGCTTTCTTAAATTCTATTAAATTTTTCTTTATTTTAATAAAAAGTTTTTTATTTAATTTAATTTATTTAATTTAAACTATATTATTTTGCATAAATATATTTTATTTCGATTTATTTAATTTTTTTATATAATCTTTTTTATTTATGTTTTTTTTTTTTTAATTTTATTCTATTTAGTGTTATTGTATATTCACTTATTTAATTTAATTTCACTTTTGGATTTTATTTTTATTTTTGATTTTATTTTGTGATTTTACATTTTTTTTGTTATTTATTTAAATTTTATTGAGCTTTCATTTATTTCTTTTTATTTCATATTGGACTATCTAATTTTGTTTCATTTTATTATTTCACTTTTATTTTGTTCTTTTTTTAGTTAATACTAATTTATTTTATTTCATTTTATAGTCTTTATATCTATTCAATTAAATTTATTTTTTGTTTTATTAATTATTGATTTTTTATTTTATTCCCATAAATTTTTTTTGCTTTGCTTTTATTTTTTAACTTTTTGTCTCATTTAATTTTATTTCTATTATTTTATTTTACATTTTTATGTTTAATTTTATAGCGTTTCCTTTAATAATTTCTTTAATTGAAATTTATTTTCATACTGACAATACCTCAGATAGTTCAGATAAAACTATTAAAATAGTTTTGATGGTTTTATAAAAAATAATAACAATTTGTTAAAATTTCTAATGCATGCCTATGAAATTTTCAAATCCTTTAATCATTTATAGTGTCTTCCTTTGTCTACTTAACTACTCAGCCATTTCTAAGCGTGCACCAACAACTATGACAACTAAAATCTAAGTCTTTGCCTAATTCGATCTAGATTTTCAGTACATTCTTTGTTTGTTACTCCTTAACATTAAGAGCTTTTCTACGTGACCACTAGGTTAACTGAAATATTTTAGACCGGCGATGAGTAAAAATTTCTCTATAAATAATTCCGAGTCGAGTACAGCAATGTGCGCTGCTCTACCGATGAGCGTATTTGCTGTATGCGGAAGTGCGTGATGGACATCGTAACGCGCCAATTGTAATTCAGGACGTGCCAATATCGGTGCGATTATGTTGTGTATCATTTCCCTGTTGAAAAGAGCGTAGAATATTCTATGACTTCTCTAAAAATGAAAAAGTTTATTTTACTAACCTGTAAACAGTGCCTAAATTGGAATTATCACGTATGGCCGCCTTACAGAGTTCCAGACGCGCTGAATGTGCTGGTACATAGCGATCCTGACTCGAGCCACAGAGTAGTATATTTTTAAAGTGATGCAACGTACTGCGCTGACTGAGGCGATAAAGAAACGTATTGCGCAGATCCGAAGTGTCGCGCATGCAGAGCTGTAGCAGTGAGCCGGATTTCTTCCACTTTTGCATGAACCACATGCCTGAAAGTATAGTAAGAAGGTTAAAGAGATTGGTATGACATGCGATGTTTATTCTTGCTTTGCCTATTAAGCTGTATATTTTTAAAGCCGAGAACTCGCTTGCTACTTTGAACTTATTTCCATCTGAAAATGGGGAATCGAAAAGCTCTCATCGTTCCTGCCGTAAATCCTAAGTTATCAGCGAAAAGGTCTTCCTATCCTTTACATATAAGTATGATGCCATTTTCGAAAGCAAAGCAATCTCAGACTCCTTCTCAATTAAGTTTTCCGGAGTTTTGTTGAAGTTCTACTTCAGCTTGGTTGTTTTTAGTTTGGAAGTATAAACTGTAGGTCCCTACATTTGTTGGAGCAACAATCAGGCGCTCACAATAAACTGGAGGAGGGTAAAATGAAGTTAGCAATCTCTAAGTGTGGCCGATCCAAAATATGTGCTCTTTCAATAGGCTTGGGTTTGTTAGAACTGCTGGTTTAAGGTGGCTTGCAAAAAGCTCTTGAACAGTTGTAGTCCAGCTTTCTCTAAAGCGTCTCCGAATGGCTGATGGAATACTTCGAAGAATCTTCCTTTCATGTCCAACATATATTCGGAGGTGTTGACATTCCCTGCTGAGGGACGTCCGCATTTAGGAACAATGTTTTTTTTTTAATTTTATATTTGGATCTGGCGATGACCGTCCGCATGGTAGCACGTACTACTAAGCATTCGGCTATAGCGGACGCCAGACTGTTCTAGCCGAAAAAGTATACTTTATTCAATGGAAGATACAGTTATGTTTTTAGTAGTATTAAATCTGAACCAGTCGAATAAATCCTCATTAATAGCCTAGACGGATCTTAGAAAATCTACGATCTGTGTTTTTGGGACGCATATTTAATTCTATAAATTCTTTCCTACCTATCCGTGTCTGCCTCAGTTGGTCTATTTGATTAAAACAAATAATTCCCTGCAACGTCAATCATTTTGAAGCTGTTTATGTTCACACTTGGGGACTCAGGTTCTTAAAATATTTTAAATATTCTAAATTTTCGTTTCATTTTCACTTTCTTCAACATCTACAGTATATATATCCGCTTAAAGCCTTCTCCACTACTTACCCATATTTACCAGACCACTCGTGTTGTAAAGTGTGCCCAAGTGTGGTCCGGACAGTGACAGAAATGTGTGTAGGCGTGGCAGTAGTGGACGCATTTGAGACCGCGCCAAAGCACTACGCACTATAATCGTACCCAAAGAGTGTGCGACAAAGGAGATGCGCGTCGGATTCAGACCACAAGTTTCAATATGATATAGTATTTCAGCGACGAGCCTAGAAGTGGGAGGAGCGAAAATTGTATGTAACATTATTATACTCGATTCACATGCACTATCAGTGACCCCACTTACCGATCCGTCATTGTTTCAAAGTCTGAAAATGTGTCGCCTTGATTACGTTCCGACATTAGAAACTCTAAATTTGCGCCCGGCAAACCAAGCTCAAGATAGGTGCGCACGAGACGCAAATCAGCTGCGTTGCCATCCAAACCATGAACACAGATAATTAAATGCATACCGTTGGGCGAAAAGGCGCGATACTCATCGCAAATGCTAAAGTATGGCAGTTCGGATGTTAGTTTCGCAAAGTCCGAATAAATGCTACCGGTATATTTGATTTGTTTACGAAATTCCTCGCGATATTTTTCGAATTCCATTAACGATACATTCGTCTCTTGACTAGTGTTGGTGACTGTGGTGAGTCCAGCGGTTTTTGTTGCGCGTTTCACCAATAACTTGGAATTGTTCGACTTTTGGCTGTCGGTGCGTGTCACCATTGCTTTATTTTGTGCGCTACTAGTGTTCTCCTTATCCTCATCTTCAGTGAGGTCCACGGAATGCGTGCGTTTTGCGTGATCACTGTCGTGTTCGTGACTGTGATTGTGAGTGTGACTGTGTCCATTGTGGGCTTGACGTCCAATTGTATTGTTAACGTTTGCAATGTGATGATGTGCTGTTGTCCGACAATGGCTGTTGCTGAAGAGCTCGCCAGGTGGTTGGTGGCTATGCTTCAGCTCCAAGATGCTATGCGACTTCAACAAGGGTTTATTTGTGAATATGGCAGGCGTGGCTATGGGTTTCAGCGATTCGTATATGTGGTAAACCGGGTTGTCTATAGCGTGTGAGGGCTCTAATAGCTCCAAAAGATTTTGATCCTGTGCGGCAATATCTTTGAGTTGGGACGGTGTAACAACGAGTGTGGTGGTGGGTGAAGAAGATTGCTGCAAAAGTAATTGAGTTTTAGTTTGCGCGGCCGAGTTATGCGCTGGACGATTCTGGTTCCGTTTTGGACTAATGTTGAAGCTTTGATGATGTTTCAATTTCGGTTTGGGTACTTGTGTTAACATCAGTGCTTTCGTGCTATCGTTATCTGCCTGAGTTTTCGACGCAATGGACTGTGAAGTAACAAATTTCTTGCCGTTCGCAACTTTATTTGCTACTGAGTTGGTTGCATTCATACAGTTTGTGGCTTTTGCATCACGCTTTTCATGTATACCCATCACGGGTGGATCTCGAAATTCGTCCGGCGGTAGTAAATCATCTTGGAATTGCTGTGGCGGCGGTACTCGTACATTTTCTAACGGTGTATTCTCTTTTAAACTAACTAAATCGAAATCTGATTTCGATTTTTCATGTCTGCCGTGCTTTGAGCGTTCACGTCGTTGAGGAACTTCCAAGTCGTCCGTCTCCGTCGATTCGCCGTTCGGTAAATGCTGAATGCGACGTCGTAAATGCATTTCGGTTCTATTAAAGTCGGGCTTCATTTTCAGCGTGACAGATGACACTTTGCGTTGTATCGATATTTCTTGGTTAACTGTACTGATTTTATGAGTTTGTGTCGAATGTTTGACTGAATTATGTTTCTTGATGCTCTTTTGGTTTTGTTGATCTAATAGTTGTTGTAATTTGAGGCGCAGCTGCTCACCATTCAGACGTGTCTCCATGCCATTGATATGTGCTTGTTCATTGTTTTCGTTTTTCTCATTATTGGTTATTGTTTCGGGACTCGAGGGCCCCAATGAGCTACGCCGACTAGAGACCCAACCGCTCTCTTCACTTAGTGACGAAGTGGAATTGCTGAGTATAAGTTTTCTTTTTGTTTGATCCGAACCGGCATCGAATTGTGGTGGTGGCGCTAGATTTGGTAGCGATTCACTGAAACCACTCGTATTCTGCTCGCTGCTTGTCGTGTTGTTCAGAGACTCCAACTTGAATGGCACACTGAGTGATGAAAGCATTTTGTTGTCGCTACTCTTGGATGACTGCACTTTGGAGGGTATATCACTTTCAGAGCTGCTAGACTCTTTCTTGAGTTTACCGTTCTTTAACATTTCTTTGAGATCGGAGACACGCACGCGTGCTATTTCCACGGAACGCGGAATTGTTGACGAATAATCTGCCTGTATGCTACCATCGCCTTGGGCCTGTTGGCGCAATGCTTGCGAAGAGTTGCTGCGCGGTATGGTGTGTTGTTGCCGCATCGGTGTTGATGTAGGCTTAGCGACTTTAGTGCCGTTCTCCAGGCAGCCATTCATTTTCTTGGACTGTATGGGCGGATAGGAGTTACGTGGTGGTATCAAACCATTACCGTTATACTTTGGCAATGAATTGTAGTGCGTACAAAGCGTCAGCTGTTTTGGCGTATTCAACATGCGTATCTCATGTAGATAATCGAACTTGCCAGTGCTTAACTGTCGGTTAAGCGTGTTGACCGTCGTGCGACTACGGCCATTCACGCTTGCGTTGTTTGGCGCTACACCGTTCCCGTTTAAATGCAATTTGCCTTCACAGCACACGCCATCCTCGGAGTTCTTGTACTTCTGACGAAACTCGGAGATGTTACGCATGAGATCTTCGGCCTGCGCCTTGTGCTTACGTGTGGCTGACTGCTCCATTTTGTTAGCCAAACTGGTTGCGCTAGCGCCATCACTGAAATGTTTGCAGTTCATATCGGATTGTGTTTGCAGTGAGCCATGCGTATTGAGCTGTTGCGTATGGCTGTGTGTACGCAAGGATGGTGTACTATGCACGGTGCCATCTAATTGGTCCAGCGATTTGCTGTGACGCGCCGGTAGAGTGCCATTCGTATTATAATTGTATTCTTTCGGCGCGACGGCATCACTGTCATCCTCGAGCAATCCGGTAACGGAATGACGCGACATCTGTCGCTGATTAAGCGCACTAGTGCTTGGTGCTTTTGCCGCCGCTGTTGTAGCTATGGTCAAGCTGGCTTGTAAAATTTCACCACCCAACGCGAAACGTGGCGTGAGCACACCAGCAACACAGCCAGGACTGCTTTGATAATCGTAATTTAGCGTGCAAGAACATTCTTTCGAGTTCGTACTGCGACCACTTAGACTATTCACCGAGTGCGTTTTATCGTGCATACCGGCTGACTGTTGCTGTTGAGGTTGTGGCGGCGGCGGTGGTTTAGGCGTCGTAATGCTACCACAAGAGCTCCCCAAACTTTCATGACTATTTAAGTGCGGATCACTGCCTGTACGTCGGCGCGTATAACTCGGTGGTTCAACATAACGATCTTCAAATATCAAAGGCAAGGAGCTGGCATCACCATCTATGGGCGTACAGTGTACCGGCAGTGGCGGCAATGACTGCAAGTAACGACTGCGACGCGCCATTTCCGCAATAGCGACATAATTCTGATAGTTGCTGTCGTAGCAACCCGCCGCGGAGTGTCGCGGATTTTCGTTGACGAAGAAACCCTCAGCGAAGCGTTGTACACGGAGTATATGATGCTTTTTCGCGAGCAGTGTATGTACGGCCGGTTGTGTGGAGGCGAGCAGTACACGACGCCAGTACATGATGCACTCGGCGCACAGCTGTGCAATGTCCGAGTTGGCGCGAATGGCGAAATCCTCTTCGGTATCGTGCAGCTGTGGGGAAATGGTGTAGCTAGAGTTTAATTTAGTGCCGTTGATTGAACAGACTTACCTTCGCCTCCTCAGTCAAATGCTGCAGACGCTCAGTGGTGTCATTTTCACGTAGCGGTGGTGAGCCGATTTGATTATTTATGCTCTTCGGAAGCACAGCGCTAAATTCGTTGAGTGTCACCTTGAGGTTTTCGATGGCGCCCAGCAGTAGACTACACACTTCATGATGTATTTGACGGGATTGTAAAAGTCGGCCGGCAGGTCCACCGCTGCACTTGGTTGTGCCCACAATTTGTGGTCCGAAAAATACCGCCTCCAAGGGACCGGGCGACATGCTGCCGCGACAGTTCAATTTGCCGCTCCAAGCTTTTGAGCTTTTTGGTGCGCTGCAGTGAAGAGATGGTGAGTACTAGTATTAGTGCATGGGAGCTTGGGCGAGTATTAAATTAACAGTTCATTACACTAAACGAAGCTTTAAATATATTAATTATTTATTTTTTCCACTTTAGTTTTGGACACACAGACTTACACAAAAAGTTTCACTAATTGTTGTTGCTCTCTAAGAACAACTTAAATGCCGACTACAAAGTTTAAGTACTAAAAAAAAAAACAACAACGATTACAATGTGGCCAAGAAGTTTGCGCTACAAGTAAAAAAATACTCCAAATCAAACAAAGAAAATGCAAATAAAAAAAAAGTTATAAAAATAAAAAAGAACCAAATAAAAAATACAACAAAAACTGCAAACCTTTTATTCTCTAACTATTTGAGTTCAAATGTTTTATTCAAAGTTTCACTAAAACTGCATTCAAACAAAAAAAAAGGAAAAAGTAAAAAAGGGAAATGTGAATTAAAATCGAAAATATAACGGAAAAGCTAGAAGGAAATGAAAATTGAAATTGAAAAAATGAAATGAAATAACTGAAATTCGTGATATCAAACGTGGAGTCTTACCAGAGCTTAATGTAACGGAAAAGTGTTTTCCTTTTTATTTTATTGATCGATGTTTGAGCATTCATGAGGAGGAGAGGTCCAAATAAAAACAAAAGCAAAGTTTGTTGTAAATATGTTACAGCGGAAATATGCGGTTATGTGAAATGTTGACGTTTTAGGCCAGATTGTATTTTTTAGTTTTTGTCATTTGGATTATTTGTTTGGATTAAAGAAGTTGGGGAAGTAAAACAAAAATTAGTAAAATGTTTTTTTTTTTTTTTTCAAATACATTGTAGAAGTAATATGTATGATCATTGAGTGAAAATAGTATATATTTGGAATTAATTACTGTACTAAAACTACTACAGATGTTGGCACTTGATTTTGGTAGATTTATTATTAAGCAACACTTTATGTTCAACGATAAATATGGAAAATTATACAAAGAAATCAAAATGAAAATGCTCCAAAACTTTTACTTCTCAATAGCAATCAAGTAGCAATATTTTCGAAAATTTCAAAAACGAGTTTGCAATTCAATCACAACGAAAGCTTTTCAAGCATATTTTAGAAACCATAAAACATATTTCGGAATACTCAGCTTTATAATTAAAAAAAAAAAATCCACCTCAGACACAATAAATTAAGCCTCAGAAAGATAAAATTAGTACGCATTTTATATATATATAATTGGCGCTTTATAACCGCTGAAGCGATTTTCCGCCGAGCTCATTCTCCAATTTGTGGTTTTGCGTCTGGATGTTTTTCCAACAAATGGAGGGACCTACAATTTATACTAAGCTGCCTCCGAACGGCTGGTCAGGGGGGGTTGACTTTCCCTGCCAAGTTGCGACTGCAATTACAAAATTGTACTTAATTTTTTATTTAAATTAATTTTCTACAACTTTTGGATGTTGATCGCACGGAAATTTGAGTTCGAGCCTTCCGAATGGCAGTACGCAATGCTAACCCCTCGGCTACCGCGGCCGGGAGTACGCATTTTAAATTCTTATTTTTCGTTTTCTGATAAATAATTTACTAATCTGAAGTACACTTTACGATCCGGTTTTTATATTCTAATCAATTTTTTTTTTTTGAAGTACTACTGTGGGCAAAAAGTAAGGTGAATTTGTTTGTAAAATTAAAAATCTTTATTTATTATTCTACACCGATTTCGTGGCCTTCGATGCAATGCACTCATGCCAACGCTTTTTCCAATTATCGGAGCATGCCAAATAGTCACGTTCTGGCCGAATTCACGTTTAATCTCCTTAATCGACTCAGAACGACGGTGATTTTTCGAAGACAATTTTCTTCAACGACTATGCATATTTCTCCTCCGGAAGATACGTTATAAGCGAAATCGTTCCATTTATGGCTTCGAGAATCCTAATTACACTTAGAACCCCGAGGCCATTTCACCAGCCAAAAAGAAAAAAAAAACTTATTGTCTGGTGCGCTCTTTGGTCCGGTGGTGTCAATTCGGAGCGTTATGGTTGTATGATAACCGACTTGGCATACAAGCATACAATTCAAGAACATGACTTAGACAATATGTGGTTTCAATAACAAAATGAGTGAATATGGCTTTATTACGAGGGAAATTTCCCGGCCGTATAATCTCTCGTCTTGTCCATTTTTTTGTGAGGCTACGAGAAATACCGAGCTGGTGAGGATAAAACCTTAAAGCCTCCGTATTTGCTTTTGAATAAGTTTAAGCTTTGATTACCCGATTCCCACTCTTGCTCTTTGTCGCGTGATGCCGTAGCCAATCCTTGTGGAGCGTTGGGTTGGTAGCTAAAAGTTAAGCAGATTCAATGCAGACACTTTGAGCTTTTTCTTTGCAGTTTACTAGAGTTGGGCTGCGAACAGGCATCGGTCTTGAACCAAACGGCTCGTTATAAAGTTTAATTTTACCTTTCCAATAAAAAAAAGAGACAAACGCCTCTGTTGAGTGCCTAACTTAATTACGCAGAAGTCGTAACGGAAGAGATCGAAATGGCCAAAAATGCATTTTATGAGCAGTGAATATCAAACACCAACATATGGCGAAGAACCTCGGCCAAAGTACTGCTTTATCCAGAATGGAGTAATCAAAATACCAGCTGACGTAAAATTGGGACAATCGATTTTCACAGGCTTCTCCAAAGCCAAATCATTCGCCATAGACATAAAAGTCAGTCACTGGGTGCGAGGCTCAGACTATAAAGTGGATGCATAAGAACCTGCCGACAAAGCTCTCGAAGCTGCAGGCTGTTCAAATTAAATACAATTGCCCCATTGTTAGACCAAGCTAGGCGCTTCTGGACGATCCTTTCCTTCAGACGGTCAACTAAGAATTTAGCCAAATCTTGCCAATCCCAACAAACACACGACGAAACCTTTCTGTCCGTCAATCATGGATTGGAGACAATTTTTGCCGGCTCGCTGTACTTCGATCACGTTCGTTTTCATTTAACTTTGGTGTAGGTGATACAGTTTTCATCATCAGTCATCATCCACTTCAGTGGAAATTCGCAAATGTGAGCTCGATCCATGAACTTGCGTTAACTCATGATGCCCCCACACATCGACCTTTTTTGTGTATCCAGCTTTTTTAGAGTGCTTTTCTGCAAAAAGCTGAACCAAGTGCGATTTAATAGCCTCGTCATTTTCGAAAGTTTTACCATTGAATGTGTACTGAAAATCTCGAAACAAATGGTAGTCTGACGGTGCAAGGTCAGGGCTATATAATGGATGCATCAACAGTTCCCAGCCAAGCTCTCTCAGTTCTTGGCGAGTGACCAAATGTGTGTGCGGATTAGCATTGTCCTGGTGGAATATGAGACCTTCACTATTGACCAATTTTGGCCGCTTCTCGTTGATGGATGTATTCAATTTGTCCAGTTGTACACAGTAGATATCCAAATTAAGCGTTTAGTTCCTTGGAAGCAGCTCAAAATATACCACCACACTCTTTCAATCTTACCAAACTAACAGCAGAAGATTACTTTTGGTGAATATCAGGCTTTGAAGCGGTTTGTGGCGCTTCATCACGCTTGGGCCATGATCGTTTTGAAGTGACGTTATTGTAAACAATCCATTTTTTATGAATTACTTTAAAAACGGATCATATTCATTGCGTTTAAAATGCATATTACAAGCGTTGAAGCAACTTGTCAAATGAATTTCTTTCAATTCATGTGGTACCCAAATATCAAATTTCAATTTTCACCAGTCCCAGAGGTCGTATATGAGTATGAAGGGTTGATTTTAGTATACTTAACTTCTCGTCAATCTCGCGCTCAGTTACGTGACGATCTGGTGTGATTAAAGCCTTGATATCGTCATCATCAACTTGACTCGGCGGACCTGAACGTTGCTTATCTTTGAGTGAAAAATATCCCGAACGGAACTTGCCAAGCCAACTTCGACAGTGTTTCATTTTTCTTTTTTTCTAAAGCAAGCCAAAAGTGACAGCTTTTAATTGTCAAAAGAAAACTACAATTGTATGAAAAATCACCGGTTTCTTTTAGGGCAATCCAATGGTACAAAATATCATCTTTCTAACGCCATCTAGCGTACTTCAATCGCATTTATAGAACGCGAGATACAGATCACTAAAGCCATCTATTGCAAAAATAATGGAGGACTCATTACTTGAGCGAATATTAAACCAATTTGAGTAATGTGATATGCTATGATATCGCTGAACTATTAAAATTGCTCTAAATTCACTAAGCGCACTTCTACACTTATTGTAATTTATTCAAATTCACTCGAGGATATCCTTAACGAAGGTCGGCAATAGCAATATGGTCTGCATCTACAATAAACTAAAACAATTTCCAACTCAATGCGATATGGGATTAAAGTGTATTAAAGTGGCTTAAGCAGTAGATTAAATAGACACTTGTGGTTTTACAAGAATTTACACATTTTTAAAAGAGCAACATGAACTTTCTTCTAATTCGTCCGCCGTGTATGACTATGGCAATTGAGCAGAAAATGGCGAGGAATATAATACCAGACAACATATACAAATTTACAAACTAGCGAGGGTTTTTAATTATACAAATAAATATATGTGTATGTATGTGTGTGTGTGTGTGAAATACAAACTTTTTCAGCATCAAACGTCGCAAAATTTGTATACGCCATGGAAAGTTGAAAGGAATAACCTGTGGCAAGGCTCTCGTTTGACGTCTGTAGCAACCAGCCAACCACCACATAGACACGTGAATATGATCCAATATGCAATATACACGCAGAGAGATATATGTATGTATGTATATGTATATAATACTCGTATATATGTACATATATAGTGTATAAAACGCAGCGCAGCGGCAACAATTGATTTAAGTCATTAAAATTAATTGCAAGACAACTAAGGAAGTCAGTGAGTCGTAATGTCGGTCGGATGGCAGAGGAAATACCAAATAGGATTAGAGGTAATAGCTGTTGGTAGTGAGTGCAGACATGACAGACACAAATAAGTATGAGACAAGAGCGTTACCAAGGATGCGCAATGCCATTCAAATATATATATAAATACAAGGGTTGCCTTTTATATTTCCGTAATAGAGAACAAAAACAAATATTAACAATTGAAAATCATTTTATGGTTTTTCAAAATATTCTGCATTTCGATCTGAACACCCTTGTATGCGTTTGAATCAATTGTCGAAGCTCTTTTGCCATTCTGATTGAGGTAGTCCCAAAACATGCATTCTGAACTCATGAACCGCATCTTCAGGTGTCGAAAAACCTTGACCGCGCAGTTTATCTTTCACGATGGGGTATCGAGTAGAGGTGTAGAGTAGAGGTCTTTCTTTCCTTCTGCTTCCACCAGCGAGTACGTATGGAAAACTTTCAAAACTGGTGTGTTTTCATCGATTCGGACGACATGTCCTAGCCAGCGTAGCTTTGGACTTTTCATTCGTTGAGCTATGTCAGTGTCAACGTATAACTCGTACAACTCATCGTTCCATCGTCTATGGAATTTGTGGTTTCCCATGCGCAAAGCACCATAAACCGTTCCCAAAATTTTTCTCTCGAAGACTCCCAGAGCTGACTCATCTGATGTCGACATCGTTAACGCTTCTGCACCACATAGCAGAACGGGTAGGATGAACGGCTTGTAAAGTTAGGTTTCTGTTCGTCAAGAAAGGACTTTTTTTCGATTTTCTAGTTGTTATTATTCTCTCCAGCAGCAAGTTGAAGAAATCGCACGATAAAGAGTCGCACTGTCTGAAATCTTGTTTGGTACCGAACAGCTCGGAGAGGTCCTTCCTAATTCTGACTGCGCTTCTGGTGTTGCCCAGCTGTGTAGCATAAATTTTGCGGGTAAACCAAATTCAGATATGGCGGCGTTCTGTATACAGAATTTACTATTGTTCTCGAACAACTTTTATTAGATTCGGCTCACCTTTTAACGTCGATACAGTCGGCTGCTGTTTACTTTTGGGCTCATATGCGTAAGCCCACAATTCATTAACTGTGTCATAGACGTGCTCCGAAGCTAACGCTTTTTCATAATATTTCTCTCTACCAATCGATACGAACTTTTTTCTGAGCGAGTGACAAAGTTTTTGAGATCCAACGTTAACTTTTTTTTCTAACGGTTAAATGTTTTTGGAATATCGAATGTTCCAGAAATACCTCTTTTCTTCTCAATCTCACGATAGATTACAAGAGGATCTTACAATATCGGCAGTAATTTTTTTCGAAAACATGACCCTGATTAAATACACCATACCATCGATCGATACTGGTTCGTTATGGAGTTCATCGATTCGCTGTTGTTGATTAAATTCACCTTGATTAAATTCACCATACCATCGATCAATGCAGGTCCTTGATGGAGTTCATCGATTCGCTGTTGTTGACTTAACCCATATCGTAGGTTGGCAAAAAGTAATCGCGCGAAAATATTTGCGATTTAACTTCATTTTTTGAATTAGATTGAATATTTTAAGGTACCGTAAGCAAATAGTGCTCGATTGACAAAACTTTCCGAGTATGTATAGAATAACATCGAAAAATTCAAATTTCACGATGAAGTTGTCAGTTGCCAGATTGCCACGAAACGCGAAAGGCAAACCTCGTACATACGTATTTTCCTGTGTCTTTGTATAGAGAGTGGTAGACACATGTTGGAAATTACAAACAAGTGTGTCGATAGTTAAGAATTAACATTACGGTGTAGTCGGTTGTGTGCGGCTTTGGCCATGCGTCCCTCATATTTCACAGACGCAGAGAATCCTGTTGCTAATGAACGCCAATGCGTCGTGGTGCATGGCTCGGCTGGCCGGCAAACGTGTGTGTAAGAGTTTTAATGAGTTGCAAATGCTTTTTTTATTCATTTTTTGTCTTTCCTTTTTGTAAATTTATTCATACATATTGCACAGAAGTGTGCATATTCACTTACTACTCTCACAATTTTTTCATGATCATAAGTATACATTTTATAATGATAAGATGAGACAGTGCAGTCGGTACTTGTATTTTGTCATGGCATATGAATGTTAATTTTTTATTACAGCACGTGCAACAGCAAAAATGTGCATATTTGTATAAATGTACATATACATATATACATATATATGTGGGTACATACAAAATGCACATATGGTCTATTTAATTGTAGTATGGGAATCCGCAATTTGGCGTTAAAGAGTTAGAAATGACGTGATGTTCTCATTAAATTTGCATTTGAAGTTGGAAAATGTAAGGTATATGTAATGAAATTGCACTAGGGTCGTTCTTAATACCACAATTTTAGATCAAACACAGTACTTACAGGCCCATAGGATTTAAGCCTATTAAGGCCTTTCTTTCAAGTTCTTTATATATAACCTGTGGCCAGCGCGTGAAATCAAAGAGAATAGAAAAAAATTGTTGTTTTTTCCTGCTCTTCACCTAACTGCTGATATTTTGGATGCCGTTAAGCCGTTAAAAATGTCTGTAATTTAAATCTTTAAATTTATCGTTTTTTTTAAGAAAAATTATAACTTAGAACTCAGAATAAGTGCGGGTCGAACAAAAGATATCCGAGTATTTTTTTTATAGGGTTTGTGAGTTTGGAAGGTGAAAACTCAGTTTGAATGATGCTATTGTACATGCTAGTTAATATAGGGTTAACCACTTCGAGATTTCAAAATTACACGGCTGCATTTTGACATCTGTCAAACTTAACTGTGAAACCAAACATGTTTCGACGAAGATAGGATTTAAAAATTTTCGCCTCATAAGGACTACCCTAATAAATATGCCGATAAAACCGCAGATGTAATTTTGCTAGATGTGAATATGTACTCCTATACACGTATGTGTGTATGTAAAACAGTGGTAATGCAACCGCAAATGCCGCATTCGCAGCCATCAGCAGTTCTGTTTGTGCCCGGCGGTCTGTACCCGCGCAAGCTCAGTTGGTTACTAAATCTAATGATCTTGTATGTAGGATGCTGCAGCTGCGAATAAAACAAACAGATTTATGTATGAAAATACTATAAATGCCACATACACATGAGCATGAAAATAATACCACAACCGGAATATGCGTGGTTTTGCTTTTTAACCCAAATTTTTTGTGTTGCTTTTTGGTTTTTTTTTTTGTGTTTTTTTTTTTTTTTGGTTTCTCATCTTTACTCTTTAACATATCCTGCCTCTATTCGTCAAACCATTTGTTCACTATCTACTATGTGGTACGAACACTCATAAACTCCATGCGATACTCACTTTATGTAGGGCTGATGCAATGCCACCAAACTGGCATGAATGCCCACACTAATGGCGGCCAAGTGGAAGTAATCGAACAGCACTGGCAGATGGTAGTGTAGCCCTCGACCTGGATGGAAATTCAGCTGTAAGGTGCGCGTGGAGGCCAATGATAAGGCGCTGGAGCCGTTTTGTTCACCAAACCACAACTCCAAATGCAATGAGAATTCCGCACGTTCAATGGACTCCTTCAAGTGACGGCTGTCGACTGGAAAAAGGAAAGAAAAGTAAAAAAAAAAAATGTGAAGTGAGAAGGAGTGGAAAAAGAGAAAATCGAAAATGAAATGATTAACTTGTAAAGAGGATTTGAATACGAAATGGCATTTATTGCTGTTTAAATACGGGTGGAAAAAGAAATTAATTATGCTGCTCTCGTAGGAAATTAGTATTAATTGAGTAATTGGAAGTACAAGGTTGTTGATATCGAGAGTTTAATAAAAAGCTTAAAAGCTCTGCGGGACTATTTGGTCGGTGAACATTCATAAATGGGAAGTGGTAATGTAGAGCTAAGAACGTTTACTCTCAGAGTACGGATATTTTGAGAACACTCAAAAGAAATTCTGCTTATAATGGAAGAGAAAGTAGAGAGTGTTAATATCACTTATACAAGCGAAAAAGTCTTCGTCCCATTTCGCTTCACACAACGACGAAGTATAACTAGAGAGTTAGACCTCCGACTGAGAGCTTAAGCTTGAGAACCTCATGATTTTTGAAGTCTTGCAGACTCTATCCCAAAGAGCAGATATTTCAAATGCTTCGACAAGATCCTACCCCACATCCAAATCTTGAAAACTTTTTGAATTTGGTAGCTTCTCAGCAGGAAATGTTAAACTCATTGAGTGTATTTTGACTGTTTTTGGGAAGACATTAAGGTGCATAGCAGAAATAGGAGCTTGTTATACATATATGAAATTAGAGCCTCAACCCTGACTGATATTTTTCTCTGAAAGTTAAGCCGGGCACGCTGTAACAAAGAAAAATGGTAGAAGTGAAAGCTGTTTCATAAGGATCCGTTGGTTCGAACCCTGCCATAAAAAGGATAGGGAGATGTGGCATAGGGATGCTTTTAAACAATAAATCTTAGGGTTTTCTAACCACAGATGCGACAAGTTTAACTTATTGAGGTGGAAATGAGCCTCTGGACTTTTGCATGCAATTCCGGATCATATTCTTACACTTCAAGCAAAAACACGAAGCTTGAGTTCTTGTGCTAACTGCACTTTATAAGCATTAGGCCTTTATTTAAAATACGATAACATGACGTTTGTGCAATGCTCAATCCCAAAGAACGACGAGGAATGCACAAACCTGGATCTTCTTCAACACTTTAGGCTACAGCGGAAATATTCTTACTTATTGGAAACCCCTTTATATACTCCAAGCGGACAATATAGTAATCGAAAACGAACCACAATCCATACAAAAAAAGTCCAATCAACATTGTGATGTCCTAGGATTGGACAATAAACTCCACCTCTGCAAAACGTTCTTGTACTCCATGGGGTATATACAGTGGGTTACATTATGGAGTATATGCGATTATAATCTGCTTTGGGTAAAAGTTGGTAAATTCTTATATTTATTACATAACGGTATATTTATATTGATAATTTATTGCTAATGTATCAAACTTCTGCGCGTCGTCTGTGTACCAGTAGAGCCCAATAGCGAAACAAAACCGATTCCATTCCATTTCCACCCATTTTCACTCATTTTCTGCATACCAGTATAAATCTCATTGCGTACTTATAACTTCGTTTAGTAATTTCGATCGTTAAAAAACGAGCAATCATCGGCTAACAATAAACAGGTAGCGAGATGTCAGTTGATCCAACAGTACACTACACAGGAGTACCTATTGGATTACTCCAATGAACTACAATATATGGTCCACAAATGTTTACAGCTGTTTCTCACACGCACATCAAATAGTTGATGTCGGAAGGGTTCAGTACTCTAATGTTAGCTGGTAGCAATACAAGTACAATATTTTTTACCTACATCATTTTCCTTCATCAAATAAATGCCTCATTTGAATGTAAGTACTTTCCAAAAATATTCACATGCATGTCCTTCAGACAATTTCAACATTTTCCAAATAACGAAAATAATCCCTAAATCCGCATAAAATTGGCACAGTGACTTTAGTCAAAACTCTTTTAACGCATTTTTCGATATTATTTACTAAGAGCCTTCTGCTTCTTCACCAATCTCTCCTCTGCCGAAACTGGAAAGACAAACATTGTTGGCTGACGACGACGACGAAAACGACTTAAGTTGTCATTCCATTTCATTTTTATTTCATTCACTTCAGGGTAATGCACTATTTGGATTTCTCAGATTTGTCTTGGCAACGTCAACAAAAGCGACGCACTGAGTCCACTTAACTGCGCTTTCATGGTAAGCTTAATAAAGGCGGTACATACATACATACGTGTACATACATATGTGATAGATGTGCATACATAATAAAGATACGAGTGGCATGAGTATATGAGTCTGTTTTATGCATAAATTTCTTATTTGCAAACATTTGCACAAATATATCTAAGCGCATACTTTTGTGCAAATTTAAAGATAAAATATAAATTGTAGAGAGTTGGCAATTGCAAATTGCTTCACTCGAATAACATATTAACATGCACATAGCAGTGGTCATAAGTCAAAAGCGCTCAGGTCGAGTTGTGACTGAACTTTGACGATCCTGTGGCATCAGCTTGTGCACATCTTAAATAGTTTCCAGTAGAAAAACTGATTTTGGATGATCCTAACGAAATTCGTCTTGGACTGAGCTATGACTTCGGTTGATCACACCATTGATCGACAGTGGTTCTGATGGAGCTTCATCACCAATAGATGAATTACGTTCGTCGATGCACGTCGATGTTTGTAAAAAAAATCGCGCGAAAATGTTCGCGTTTTATTCCATATTTCGGCCCAGATGAATATTTTATGTAAGTTACCGTAAACAACATAAACAGAGCTCAATGAGTCAATGTAAAAATTTTCTGGGTATGTATAACCTCAAAAATGCTAAAATGATTAGTTGCCAGATTGCCACACCAGAGTTAGTTAATTAGTTAGTTTAACAGGTTGCTTTTGTTACCTACATATGCTGGTGCTGATAAGCAGTTTACTTTCACCTTTTCAAATGTTAAAACTAATTCTATGAAATTCTGATTAATGATGCAAGTTCTGCAAGGCAATCGATGACGAAATTTTTGAGAAAACCATAACGCAACACACTGAGAGTTTGGAAGTGACAGAAATAGTGCTCCGCCGATTCTTCCACACCTATGTCCCAACAGCTGCGCTGGAAGTCGTTGGAAAAGCAGCATGAGTCCCCATAAGACAAAGCCAGGTTATTACGCTTCTGGAGTTCCGGCTCAGTAGGAGTAGAGATTTAGTTTTATAGCAGATTTAGTGCCAAATCGCAAGATCAAAAAGGTAATTCTCGTTTTATTGCCTTTAAAAGTGGGGAATGTCTCCATTTTGTGACGAGAAAAGAACTGAGTGTGTGTGAACACCAAACACCAACTGCTTCAACTAAAGGGTTTATTTGAATGTATACATATAAAAGTTGCTGATTTAGCTTCAAAGATCTAAAAGTACAAGCAAAATTATTACGCTTACACTGTTTAAAGTCACTGATATTAGTTGGTCCATCAGAATCCTACGCAGCGTATTGTGTATGTATGTAAATACTTTAAACAGTTCTCTTACAAACGTGAAAATTAGCATTCTATTATTAAAAAAAAAAAACATTTGTACAATATAACAGATAAAACTTCCAGACAGAAAGGCACATAAATATGTAAATATGATACAAATAAGTATACACTAACCGTCATAAGTCTACGCTCTAAGTACTACTTTTAAATATATATTAAAAATGCTAGACATTGTTTCGAAGTACATTTTTTATTTTAAACTGATTAGGTACTACAGTAGAGCATTTTTACCTAACATTTTTCTATGTACTATTTACAGTTAAAAAAATAAATTAAGATTTTTGGCATAAAGAAGAAAAGGTTATAGGCGCCAAAAGTCTACGCTCATAAACGAAGAGTTATTCGTAGATCAGTATAATATTAAGGTTTTTAAAAAATAAATTACTGCAGTAACCAATTGGGTATCCTCGAAATTTAAGGATTTCCCTCAGTCTGTTTCGCATGGAATAATTAAGCTTTGTAGTCTCTTCAGATGTAACTTCTCCCCATTCTTCTTTGATGACTTCTTTCAACAATGATTTACTTGTTATCCAATGTTTTCGTATATTCCGCACCAGCAACGCCCACAGATACTTTATTGGATTCAAATCAGGTGATTGTGGTGGTGTTAGGAGCTGTTTGGGCACTCCAGAGGTGGATAATTTCGGCGGTAGGTTTGGGGTCATTGTCTTGTTGGAAGTAATACTCATTGTCTCATCCCAACTTTTCAACGTTTTGTCATATTCTATATTTTAAAATGTTTAAATATGCGAATAAGTCCATAGTTTCTTCAATAATATTCGAAATTTCCCACGCCGTTTGCTGCATACAGCCACACATCATTATTCCTCCACCACCATGTTTGACAGTGGGGAAGAGATTTTCTTTGTTGAGCGCTGCAACCTGTTTTTCTGCAAACAATTTTCCGTACCTTGATGCCGAAGATGCAAAACCTGCTTTCATCAGCAAAAAAAAAATTGCTTCCAAATTTCTGTTGGCATATTAAGGGTACTTATTTGCGAAGGCTATGTGTTTTAGCCGATTTATTAAAGATATGCACTGTTTCTCTCGAGCGTCACGTCCTTGGTATCCTGCTTTATTTGAAATTCTTCTAGCGGTAGAATCATTTATTACATTTTTAAATTTTTGCTGAACGTTTAAGGCTGCTTTGGACACTGTGGTCCTGGCATTTGCTTTTACAAGAGACAGTACACTTCGTGCAACTCTGTGTGTTACTTCGGAAGGTCGACCATATCTTGGTTTCGAAGTTAATATTTCTGTGTCTTAGACTTAGACTTATGACGGCTAGTGTACATATGTATAAAAAGTGAAAGATGTCACTTGAAAAAATAGATGGGAAGTCTTGTCTCTCTGTCTAACAGTCTGTCTGTTGCACGTCTGTTGTCCGTTTCAAAATGGAGTACTTTGTTCTGTAAAAGACATATGTACATATGTATATATACATATATATCCGTAAATTAATGCATAAATATACATA